AAAAAAATTGTTTTAAAAAAAAGATTATTTTTATTTCGATTACGTTGTTTTCATAATCGTTGCAAGCCAAAATCGTAATTGCGATTAAAATACGATTAATTGAGCAGCCCTAATTTATACCAAAACAAATTCCTCATATGCGTAAACCTACTTTGTAATAAAACAGAATCTGATTTGTGTTAAATAAGTCTGCTCCCAAATCGAACAAAAATAAAAAATGCCTAGATCTACGATTTCGGTCAATGTGAAGCCCCTTGGTCCTTGAACCCTGGTCATGTAGTTCCAATGATGAATCTTACGTTTCTGGGCCAGACGACGTGCGGCGCGAACATGAGGGCCAGGTTGAAGGCGGACATCTTGTTCTTGTCCTGCTGCCTGGCGGTGTGGTAGAGCAGGTCCAGGAGCAGTTTGAGCAGGGACCGGTTGGCCTGAGGTAACAGCAGGAAGAGGAGCTGCAGGGCTTCTATCTGGCGCTCCTTGTTGGGCAACGCAGTCTTGTTCCCGAGTTCGTCAAACAGAGTCAGATCTGGAGGGGAAGGAAGTAAAGTCATGAATGAGTTTACAAAAAAAGAAAAAGCTCTATTGAGGGGAGCAGGGGTCGGCAGGTAAGTTCGGCCCAGATTCTGAGCCACTAGATGGCGGGCCAGTACATAATCAAAGGCTAATTTAAAGTGTACTTATCATGCTATATTTGAATAATATAGTGTAGGACCATACCTATATAAAGGCATATTTATGCGTTTTATTTTTCAAAATACCAAACAGATCATGCATTTTATCCATTCCTCATTTCGCTCAATTTAACACTGCCTTTCATGCTCGGATTCAGTTTGAACAGCATCATCTGGTGGCCTGAAATATGTACTACAGCGTATCCAGCGCTTTCGAACGGCAATGTCCGTGGCTGTCTCCTCCTGATTGGTGGAGTTGGCCCAATAGCCGTAGCGCCACCGTCCTGACGTCAGAAAAGTGTTCGAATCTGGATCAGTCTGTATCAGATCCGTTGCAGCCCCTTTTTAAGAGGTTTGGGTATGGAGGAAAATAGAGAGGGTTGTGTTTTCTGACACTTGGTGAGTTCCCTGGAACACCGGGGACACATGTTCATGTAGAAAAGACGTACAAAGGTGCATTTTGCATGATAGGTCCCCTTTAAGTAATTGATTGTTAAAATCGCTGCAGTTATTATCCAGTGGAAAGCCCTTACCTACTGGCAGACCCCCACTAAGAAAAATAAATATATACACACATAAGGTCATCATCTTAACAGTTGTTTATGCTCATCGAGTCATCCGTGAGCAGAGCATCAAGCTGGCATGCCTGTAACGGCTGAATACGGCGATTACTATCTTGTTCAGCAAAACGCCTCACAAACGTATTAAAATCCAAAGCTTTAGTGCGTTTTGATTCAATACAGCCAAACTTCAGTTTCTTCTCTGTCACCGTCCCGTTCAAATGAAATCGCCGCAAATCACATTTCCAAGCTCGCGCCAGGGGGAGGGGTTACAAGGATCGAGTCTTGCGCTGCATTCACTTGCACTCGGACATTAGGGATTTTCTCTCATAAATGTCCGATGAGCCAACATTTCTCTAATTCAGCTAATTTTCCGGGCCAAATATTATTGCTGGCGGGCCAACAATAGGCCGTGGGCCGCCTGTTGCCGACCCATGGAGTACAGTATCAAAAGATGCAACCAGGGAAGAGATAAAGTCACCCCAGAAGATGAAAAAATGCGTACTCTGTGGGCTAATTTTGATTAATGTTGGGTTGATTTGGAGGATCTGGACCATTTGTGTTGGACAGATTGCTTTTGAAAACGTAATTGTCCATAGTTGAGATAATAATTGTCACCTTGTGCTCTCTATAAAAACTACTCATGGAAGTCAAAAGATCAGCCCACTGAGTACAACCAGCCACTTTCTGGTTAAAACTGCCATTTGTGATCCTGAACCTTTCAGAAATGGACTCCGCATCCTCAATAAACCCCAAAACCACAACATTTTTCCAAATCGGCAAAGTGATTATTAACTATTGGTTACATAGGCTATAAGGCCATTCATTTTAATTAACACAACTTATGCTAATTGCCCAATATATGCAAGTTAGCCTCCAGCAGTTTATATGTGCTGGGGACCCAGAATATACATTTCTAACATAAAATGGTTCAGTATTCTGGAAACTAGACTAAAATGTGATTGTATGTTTGTGTATTCATACCGGCTATCTTGAGGTGTGCGTGAAAGTGTCTTTGTGTGAGCAGGGGCTCAGGCAGCTCTCCCAGGAAAGTCTTGAGCAGCGTGGCCACGTCATTGGGGTGAAAGTCTCCAGACTCCAGGTCCACATCCACCCCGCTGTTCAGGAGCTCCTTCAGCGTCTGCTGCCGGACGCTGTTCCCCGGCACCCGAAACAGACCCTCCACGTGCAGATCTGAGGGAGTAAGAGCAGGTCAAAACCTAAAACATGTGATCAATTATTTCTGTGATTTTTTTTTATTTCAAAGCTAGCTAGGACAAACGGAAAACATGCCACCCACACAATTTTAAAACAAAGAGAAAGAAATGCTGTCTGGGTTGATCAGTGGTGCTGAATTACTGCAGGACAAAAGGCTTGTTCTTTGTACAGAAGGAAGTGTATTATCTATTATGTGTAAAAAAAAAACAACATATTTTTTCAGTTGTTCTCTTTAAACATCACTAAGGAGTTACTGATAAACTTTTATTCATGTATTTATTCAAAATAACTTACTTTTGCTGAGGTACTCAATGAGCTGGTAGATCTGGGCAATACAGATTTCTGTTAGCGGGGTTCCAAACACAACCCCTTTATCTGGGAACGTGACAGAGACATGAGTGATCATATTATATCCAGGGTTCATAAACTTTTTCACCAATGATTTTCAATGACTTCTCCAGGACCTTTACCTCATTGTCCATGACCAAAAAAAAGTACTCTTTCTCAGCGGTACCACTGAAAATTTAAATTTATTTTAACATGGAACAGGAAAATAAGGTCTGCATATGAAACATGTTGTGCCTATCTCAAACAAATCAAATAGTAGGCTTACTAGCTTCTACACGCTAAAGCAGGGGTATTCAACTAAAATTCAACGAGATCCAGTTAGAGAAAATGTCCCCATGCAAAGGTCCGGAACATCAAAATGTCTAACTTGCTTTATGAATTAGTGTGATATATATTGAAGTAGCCTGTAGCTTTATCAACGTCTGCATGTAATCAACAACTGACTGCCAATCAAATAAAGAAAGTACAATTCATAAACAACCATATTTATTGTCAATGAACATTGATATTACTGATATTGAATACAGATATATGTCACATGGCAATGTATTTTAATTATTCATTATTGCATGGTTTTAAGTGTCTGTGTTTTATACCTTTTTATTGTGTGATTTTACTCTGAAATGTGTTTGCCTTTTTAACTGGTTTTAACTTCCTGCTGCATGCTTTTATTTTGAAATGTTTGGATTGTCCTTGCCATGCTGATTGACAATGAGTGACCACACCTGGAGCCAATTTACACGCCTATAAAGGGAAGGAGAAGAGCAGCAGAGGACAGATGGAAACGGGGACGGAAACGGGGACTGAGAGAAACTGAAGGAGACAGTGGAGGCACACGCAACAAAGGGATTAAAAGACCACGGCGGTCCAAGAGAGGGTCGACGGAGCACCTTTGCAGCC